CACTGATTCTATTTATACTTATAGTGCACTCATATTCATCCAATTTATCGCATATTTAAGCAAAAATTAAAATATTTAAGAAACTGTTTAATACTTGAAATTAATTAACCTATGTGTTTTAAAAACTTGCTTGTGAGCTTTTCTACAAAGATTTTTCGATCTTCTTATGAAAGAGCAATTTTCCTATATTTACTATTCTATAACGTCCTGTTGGATAGACTTGACTTTGATATTTTATTTCAATACAGATTTTCCATGTTGAAAGAAATTATTTAATTAATAAATTGTATACCAAAAGAGATGCATCCTGTAAAAATTAATTCTTGGAAAAGCATTTCTAAGAAAAATACGCGATGCAGTAAAATGTTTGCAGAAATCACGACATCCTTCTATGTTCTTTTTATTTTGTTTTTTTTGAATGAAGTATTATTTTAAAACAATTTGTCCTTGTTGTCATTTTGAGGGTTGAATATAAATACAAACTACATATACAGATTTTTTTTAAATTGCGCTTTTTCGGCCTTCTAACTGTAATAAACCACTTAAGTGATTTTTTACATATTTAGAATAATTTATTTTCTTCCGAATGGTTACAAAATTATGCACTATGTTTTGCTTTAAAAAATTGCAAAAAAATATTGGTTCGATTCGGCTAAGAAATGTGTGAGAACTAATGCTTCTTTTCTAATTAATAACGTTTTTACTTGCGTATAATATTATTAGATTATGTTCATATTTGATAAATTGTAACACATACTCAAAATTTAAATTTGTCAAAATATGCCACCTTTGCAATTATTTTTATCGTAGTTACACAAACTAAAATAATGTCTTCTTTATTTACATTCATAAATAATCAAAAATTATATACTCATTTTTCCTTAATTTGCAATAGTCATACTGCAAAGTCTGAAATTTTATGATAAGCATTAAACTATGAAATAAATGATCAAACATCAGTTTCATTTATTAGATATTTAACACATTTACAAATTACTAAAATTTATTACTACATTATATCACAATTTTATGAATAATATTATACATTACGTCCATGAAATATGTTTATAGATGGCAATAATATAAAACATATAGTGTTTAATTGGTAATTATTGAGGGAAATATACCACATAGTAATTTACAAATTTAGAAAACAAATAATTAAACAAATCATTAAATCAATTAAATAGTTGAACAAATAAATCTTTAGGATTTGTGACCAATATTATAAATTCATATTAAAAACGTATGAATTACTTGAATTAAATTTTTCTAAATAGACGTATGTATAAATTACTGATAACAGTAATATAATGAATTACATCTTTAGACTTATATATATATATATATATATATATTATATTTATATATAATATATATATATATATATATTATTTTTTTTTTTTTATCAATCCAAACTATAATTTAAAAACTACAAAATTATTGAGGATAATACAAAATAAAAATTAAACCTAAATCTAAAAATATAAATGTAAATTTGGTAAATGTTATTAAGTTATTTAACACATTTACTGGCTTGTTCATGTTTTGTTTATACATCCCCTTGTGCTAAATTTTTTTTTCGTTAAATATTAAACAAAACCATATATGGTTATGTTATCTAGAAATTGAAAAGAATAATTTAGCCAAAATAGGATAAATAGAACTATTTTTGTTTGAAATAATTACCCTTATACATTTTACTAAAAACGCTACAAGAAAATGCAAGGAATGCAAACGCACCTGTTGCGTTCGACACCTTGATATTGGTCTCCCGTAACATATGCGTGCGCAGCAGTTAATATGTTAAAATTACAACATTCGATTACATCCAAAAGTTTTACAAAATAAAACAAATGTATAATTTTATAAAGTACTATATTATTTATGGCACCTCAAAATAATATTTACAATTATTCATAAGAGCAAGGGGTTGGGTTCTATACTAAAGTCTTTGTCTTAAATCGAATTATCTAAAGGAAAATTAATTAGCAGTTCGTATTTTCTTAAGCCCTTGGCAAATGAGCACCTTCTGCTTGGTAACCGTTCTCATCGGCAACAAAGTTGACGGTGTATTGTTGACCATCATCTCCTACGAAGGTGTAAGATCCACGGACGCTCAGGGCTTCATTTTCGGTTCCAGCATTCTTAAGTTCGGCTTGTTCTTGGCGACTGGTTCCATCACTGGTGTCAACTGCAAATTTGTAACCATCTGTTCCCAAATTGTCGAATTCGTAACGGGTTACGGTGGCGTCTTTGCCGTGTTGGGGGGCTGAAGCAACGAGGGCCACGAGGGCTGCGAGAACAATGATCTGAAAGTAGATAAATGAAAGTATATAGTAAAATATTTTTTTTAATTCACATATTTTCTTTTTCTTATATATCCAAGAAATTTCACTTTCTTTTGATTAATTATTCTTACCATTTTCATTTTGACTTGTGGATTATACGTGAACCTGATGAGTTCTAAAGATGTACTGTGATGAAGATATTGTAAGCATGTGATTTATATACCGAAATTTGATAGTGACATCACCTGTTGGCATTAAGATAGATACAGAATAAAATCTAGGTAATAGCTTGCACGCGATTTTTGCAATCTATTCAAAATTAATTTTTGCATTTTAAATCTATATTTTATGTGCTGTTAGCATAAATTTTAAAAACGCATAAATTTAAAATATATAACAAAATTTAATTTTTTATTTATTTTGGTAACAAATATATTTATAGTTAAAAGGATCAGTAATAGATCGTTTATTTGAGAAATTAATTTAGACTATAACAATATTAATAGTTTCTCATTAATATCAATGTAAATAGTAATTATAAATCCGGATTGAAACATAATTTATAAAATCCAAGTGAAAATCATAAATTTTGAAGAACGATTTCACATAATTAATAAAAGCTACAACTAAAAAGATCAAGAGAAAATAGATTTTTTTATCAATATAAAAATTAATTTTCGAGAGGTTATAGTAAAACCTTCTAAATTAAATTTTAAGCAGTGTTATGACATAAATATTTTATATAGTATTTTTATCAATTTAAATCAACCTTACATCCAAAAATGAAAATCGTGTTTTGGATAACTTGTCTAATTTTTTCTATCATTGAAACACAAAAAGATACTGATAAGTTTTATAACTGAATAAATTATTGTAATAATAAAGGCATTTTGATAGTAAATGATTATTCAATAAATGAAACTGTTATGCTAAAATTACCAATAATTTCAATTACCAACTCCTTTCTTACAACAACGAAAACTCAATTACAATATTGTAGAAGTCATCATATATTGCCTGAACATAATTTTAATCTCAAATTTGTAGTAACCAAATATAAGAAGAGGTAGTAAATATACATAAAATAATTATTGTTGAAGTAATCTTTAAAAAAATATCTATTTTTGGTTTTAGTTCATAATAGAACCGTTTTAAAACATGTATACATCTTATTCAACTAAATTATAATATCGTATATTTTTTAGGAATATTACCAATACGAATAATTCGGATAAAATAAACTCAAAGCTAAATATTTCTTTGTGATTTTGATTTGAACTTATGAATTAACTGTTCTATTAACATTTTGATAAATTAACTAGAATTTTAATTTTTATCTTTTAGAACAATATAATTTACGCTTCATTATTTTTTATGACTAAATTATTTATTCCAAATATAGAAAATTGAAGTATTGTTTAAGGGGGTATTCTACTGTAGTAGAGTAGAGGCATGAATTTCGCCCGGTGTTTGAAGCGCTGTATAAAGAAAACAAATAATATTTTTACTATCGATTTTGTTATCATTTGTTTATTGATATTTTATTTTTACATAAAAAAAATATTAAAAAAAAAATTAAAATTCACAAAATTATGAGCAGTCAAAGTGTGGGGGCTCAAAAAAAAGAGGGTGTCCTGGCGTCCATGATTCCAACCCTCCTGGTAATTTTAAGCATGAAAAATACATGGTTTCTTAATAATTATAAAGCCGCTATCGTATGAGCCTTGGATAAGTTAAAAAAAAATATTGTTTGAATGGCGGCAGTTTGAAAAAAAAACTTTTTTTTATGTTTTTTTTAACAATTCCAAATTTTTTAAAAATACTAAATAAAAAGTTATATTTTTGGGCAAGATCCACGCGATAAAGCAATGTATAGATAGAGATCCTCTCCAAATTTGAAGTAAATCGATTCATTAGAACTCGAAATATCCTTACCGCCACCTCGAAAAAAGTAGTTCCGAGAAAAACGCGTTCAAAGTTTTAAGACAGTCGCACCCGAATCGAGGCCACGTCACTGAAACGGCTATAATTCAGGAATAATAGTAATTTTGAAAAATCCTTTTGATGACATATTTTTGAATAACTAAACTTTGAAAATAGAAAAAAAATTTCGATTGTTTCAAAATTCTACAGTAAAATAATTGTTATTGAAGTAAACTTTAAACATATAAATTTATTCAATTTTTGTTTTAGGTTCATTATACAACCATATAAAAACAATTGTATTTTTTTATTTCTTATGCATTATGTTTGAAAATCCAAACCTATATACAAAAAAATTACTATATGATCTGTATAAGAGAGCTTTGAAATAATGTCTTTGCTTTTGTATTTTGATCCTAAATGATGTCATTAATACGACTATTATTATAAAATACAGAAAATTATTATAATTAATTAATAATTACAACTGTGTAATTATAATATAATTACAACTGTAGTGTTAAATATTCCTGAAATGATTTTAAAATATAGTAAAACAAGTGAATGAAGTAAAAATTCTATATTCTTTATGGCACTCTGAGAAATTTATATATTTACTAAAATATATCACTCAAATTTACTTATAATAGTAAAAAAACAATAAAATTTCATTTTTGATCCAAAGTAATTAAATTAAGTAAATGCATCATTGGTTGTCCTCCAGTATCAGTTCATCAATTTTCTTAAGCCCTTGGTAAATGAGCACCTTCAGCTTGGTAACCGTTCTCATCGGCAACAAAGTTGACAGTGTATTGTTGACCATCATCTCCTACAAAGGTGTATGATCCACGGACACTGAGGGCTTCGTTTTCGGTTCCAACATTCTTAAGTTCAGCTTGTTCTTGACGACTGGTTCCATCACTGGTGTCAACTGCGAATTTGTATCCATCTGTTCCCAAATTGTCGAATTCGTAACGAGTCACGGTGGCGTCTTTGCCATGTTGGGGGGCTGAAGCGACGAGGGCCACGAGGGCGGCGAGGACAATGATCTGGAAATAAAGATAATTGACTGAGATTATTCGAAAAAAAAAATAGCACTAACTTAGTGTGAAATTTAAAGTAGTTGCTTCATTTTTAAATCTAAAAACATCATTTTTTGATCCAATTGGAGACATCAAATCAAATATCAAATAAAACTCATCATGACGGTTTTTATTTAGTCAAAATTTAACGCATATTTTAACATTGACCAATTAATTAAACAATTAGTGACTTTGCAAACAAAAACGTTATGAATATTTTGTATAAAACGGTCTTATATGAAAATAATGCACGCAGTGAAATATTGATAACAATTGAAGTCGTGAAATTTAGGTAGCAATATTCCGGGATTCTGTTAATTGATTGTAATGAAATTTATGGGATCTTAATTTCAGCACTAATTTAAAATTATAAAACATTTTGGCATTCAAAACATTCATCTTTTTTGAAATTCCAAGAGCTTCACACTGTATTCTCAACACCAATTAATCAACTACCAATTAATCCGTGCAACACTTTAAACGCACAAATTTACAAAAAAATATCCAGTCACTAATTATTGTCACTAATTTTTATTTTATTGACTATTATAATTCTATTATATTTTAACTTATCTCACCATTTTCATTTTGGCAAGTTGGGTTATTCCTTGAACCGGTGATTAGTTCTGATGAAGATATTGTAAATATTCACTTTATATACAAAAATTTGGCAGTGACGTCCTCGAATAACCAAGACGGTGGGTCGCTTGATGTGATGACATTTTCTCACACGTTTTTTTTACACAAATTTCACTTCTACAAAGAAGCCGTGTTTTTTATATAAAGTTTAATTTAACTATTCGACACATACATATTTAAATTTGTCTATGTCTATATATGATTATAAATGGATACACATGTCAATCAGATATATGTATTCATTTATACATAAATGCTTTACACATGGCATGTGGCGAGTTAAAATTTAGTTAAGTTGTTTCGAACATTCCATTCTTTAAATGTCACATTGAGATGATTATTAGTGATATGTTGTAACTTGAATGTGGTAAATCTTCTTTTTAAGATAATGTAAATCAGCAATAATTTTTTTTTTGTAGATGCCTTAGATTTTAATAGTGCCTCGGTATAAGATTCATATGCTGCAAAAATTTTTAGACATTCAAAATTTGAAAAGCTAAACATAAGGGAATTCTTATAAATTTTTTTGGGTTCTGATTATTTGATTCATAATAATTCCATATTTACTCTTGTTTAATTCTTAATTAGATAATTTAATTTAAAATTTAATAACTCTTCTTATAGTTTTTTTACAATAATTACGTTCATTACTAAAAATTACTACGAATTTTGATGCTTCTATCAAAAAATTTTGGACAACGATTTTTAAAAAGCATAAGTTTTGTTCTGCTTATCTAATTATCTTGATATAAAATTTAATGAAATGACAAATATACTAAATAATTCTAATAATATATTTATAAAATAGTATCAATTATATAAATAAAATTTATATTCTATAATAATTAATGAATTTAAATATTCATATCTGATTGTAGAAGCTAGTTATAAACTATATTAAGATCATAAAAAAATGTATTAAACATATAATATAAAATACAATAATATTTATAAAATTATAATTTTATTAATTATTTATCATTCGGGATATAACTGCTCCACCGTGTACCTATCCACTATTTTGTTGGAAATTTTAATAAACAATTTTGATAAAGCTTTTTCAATCAGTGGTGCTATTTCTTGACTTAAAATTTCAAAATTTGAGTTTATCGTTTGATTGATAATAGTACCTAAAAAAAATAATTATTTTTATAATTTTTTGTTAACAAATGTGTGATTGTTTAACAAAAATTAACAAACCTAAAGTCTTATCTCCGCCGAACAAATTTTTGAGATCTATTTTACCTTTTCCTATTTTAATTTTAATGTTCATTTTATCTATACCCAGCATGTTTCTACCATCTTTTTGGAATGTTTTGCCAATCATGACAGCTTTTCCAGTGCAATTATCTAAACAAAAAAAATCTCATATTTTACTACTATATATCAAATTTACCTTAAATTTGAATTATTAATTTAATAAAAATGAATATATTACCAAAACTTGCAACAAATGGTCCATTGCCTCTGATAGGTAATAATAAAATATTACCATTTACTCCATAGTTACCAGTGGCTTCTATATGAGGTAAAAATACTTCAAAATGGAAGGTCAGAGTGTCAAAATCTCCCCTAAAATAGAATAAAATCATACAAAAGTGTTTGTATAAAACCTATTGAAATAAGCAGGTTAATCACCACAATATTAACAGAAAAAAAATTCACATTGACCTTGCTAACTTTTTTGTCAAATGAAATGAGGAATTTTTGGTAAATTAAACCACTTAGGAGTGGTGTCTTCCTCACGGGTTGCAGATGAACCATTAATCCAAAATTTCTTGCAAATTGGAGCACAGTAAAAAAAATCTGACTCAAAACGCTCCATGAATGAAAAGTTGTTAGCATAATCAATATTAAACATAAAGCATACGTGATGGCTCAAAAACGCCTAATATATTTTGGTCAACATCCCACATCTGGTTCCTATTTTGTTTTACATTTTATTCCTTTCCCCCCTTGGACTATTTTTACCCCTCGTACCTAATTTTAGTAAGTTCAAAGTTAGAAGCTCCATGTGCTTTTATGTTTGTCGCTGAAATTCTTATTCCAACGGCAGAGCTGCCAGCAAAATCTCCAATTAGTAAGTCTCCTACATCAAGGGGCTCCAGAGAAGGAACGTCGCGCGAAGGATCTCCATTTACAAAGATCGGTTTCAAGGCATCTATCGATCGCTTCAGACATCCTGAGAAGTCCTTGTCATGTCTGGAACATACCTTCAGATACGGAGCTGTAAAAGGATAGCTCAGTCAGTGTTTGAGATTACTAGTTGTAAATTACAATGATTTGGAGGGGAGGAAAAAGGAATCCTTATTAGTAATGGAAGTAAAATAGAACCTGGATTGGGTTGCTTGAAAAAATCATAAAGTATAAACAGATAGAAAGTAGTACAAAATGGTTATTAGTATAATGAGTGCATTGGAACATTTCTTCAGGTATGGAGCTGGAAAATAATGGGAGAGGGTTGCAAATTATTTTGATCTGCCAACAAGAAAAATGGAAAACGAATGGATTTCAACAAGAAAAGCAAAAATGTATATCGCATTTTAAGACACGATGGTTATAATGCAGGATCAATAAAAAATGAGGAAGTAATTTCGTAGATATTAAAGTAAATGTGGATTATACCAAATAATGGGAAAACTATCTAAAGGTGGTCCATGACCTGAATTAAACTATATCGCAATTCTCATGGACTTGCTGAACTAATTTAAATAAATGATTTTAAATATTTAATTATTTTGAGTAATCTGATTACACAGATATATGTATGGGTTATATTCACTATATAAAAGAGCAGTGTCTAAGAAGAACTTCACTTAAATCCAGTTAGATAATTCTAAAATATAATAAAATAATTTAGTTTTAAATACGTCATCGTATTGTCTTAAATTTGAGTATAAGTTTTTTGTGTAATTTTATATCTATAATCATCGAAAACCATTAGTTTTGGTTTACAATTAAAAAATAAATCCATTAGAGGAAAATCTCAGAATGTTTTCAGAAACACCTTCTAATTTTTATAGAAGTAAAATAGTATTTTTCTTGTTGTATGATATTTATGAATATATATCTAAAAATAGATAGTCTGAGAAAGAAAACTCCACTCTAATCCAGTTAGATTATAGCAAACAATTGAATAATTTTGTATGAGATGCCATCATATTGTCTTGAATTTGAGTGTAATTTTATATCTGTAATTACCAAAAGTAATTCGTTTTGATTTTCAATTAAAAAATGAATCCAGAAAGAAAAATCAATCCAAAAATCTTTGCAGAAACTCTTTTAAATTTTTGTAAGAGTGAAATAGTATTTCTCTATTTGTCTAAATACAGAACAAAATAGTATTTTTCAATATATCTATAATTAATAATATATTTTTAATTAAGTAACTGATACAAGTTTCACAAATAAATTCCTCAAAAGTGTGTTGTTTTTATACACCAACGAGTCGTTTATGTTTCCTATAAAATCCTCTATTTTCTAAATTTTCAATTTAATATTATAATTTTTGGTTTACGAGCTATAATTTAGCTGCTAACATAATCCTATAATATTGCATCGCAATATGCTAGAAGGCTTTGGAAAAAAATTAAGTAGAGCAACTGCACTTTTTGTGGAGTTTTTTTATACTGAATTATTCCTAGGAACTTTGATGAATTTATATAAGATATTTATCAAATTTTAGTATACTTATAGAATTGATTCTTTCATAACAATGATTTCAGTTTTTTTCTGAAAAGTATCATGTCGAAACTGGGATTTATTGGACGAATGTCAAATGATCATGTCATACGATGATCTTCTGGTTGATGGATCATTGTTAACTTTGAACTTTACCTCAATTACATATATGTATAATATATATATATATATATATATATATATATATATAATTCAACTTGCATTTATATTCAATTATTTAGGTGATAATACCAAATAATCAGATCAATATCTTCATATAAATCCAAATTCTGGCAGTACGTAAGTTTTGGAAACACATTTATGACATCTGTAGCAAATCTATAGAAAAATTAATTTATTTGTTCTATATATTTCTTACAATTCGTAATCAATTTTTTATCGTACAATTCGTATCAATTATGCTATGTTATATAATTTTTATAATATCGAATAATTCTTCTAGATTTTTCTAGCATTTATGATTCAGTGAAACCGGTATCATTAACATTAAATTTCCTCATTAGATTTACCGCATAATATGAAACATTACATTATTATATGTATTATTAACATATTCGGTTCAAGGTTATCTTGGTGATCTTCCTTGCAGTATATCTAGTTCTTCTTAATAAATTATTCAACATTTGCAATAATTTATTATTACCGGTATTATTTTATTGATATTTCAAACAAACAATATATTATGCATGTGGAATATGTTATCAGTATTTGTTGCACTTTAATGCAATAAGTCATTTGGTGCATTAAATTGAATCCATTTGACAATTTTGAAAGTTAGAACACTTATTTTTACTGGTCTATGAAAGGTATATTCCTGAATAAGCTGTTTTTGTCAGGTTCAGTTTTGTGGTATGTTGAGAGTAAATTTTATACCAATTCTGATTTAGTAATTCTAATTTAAAAATTAGAAAATTTGTTTACAACTCACCTAATTCTTCTCCACAAACTAAATCCCAGATTATCGTCGTCGATAGTACCAAGATCACAATAATGTTCGTGATGCCCATATCGGTGATAAATGGCGCGTGATTTGAATTAATTTTTCTTCTGATGAATGAGTTCCCTTGGCCGCAATGCTTTAGTAAAACATTAAACAATGAAATAATTATTTAAGATTTTATTGTTACTTTCTTCAGCAGCTAAAATCATTATAAAGTTTTGAGATAAGACTTATGATTATTTGGACCGATAAGCAAAGTTAATCTAACACTAACACTTCAATAAGGAGTACAGAACATATACAGAACAAACACATTTTTATACTTCATAACGCAATTTTTTAATTAATTCAACTAATAAATAATCATTTAAAACAATGCATACACATATAACTTAATTTGATTTATCATTATTTTTTTCAAATTATAATAAAAATGTAATATTGCATCAATCTTAATCTAATTAAGAGTGGAAATACATATTGCAGAAGATTGTAAGCAAATATGCAATACATTGAATATACAGTAAAAAATATTATATACACATTTAAAGCATGCGGAATATTTTTTAAGAAATAATTTATAACTGTTCATATACAATATCAGGATATTTATATAAATTTATAATTAAATTAACAATCAAATATTCCTTTCATGCAATTATTGAAATGATTTGAATAAAAAATGTATAACCATTTGTGCTTTTAATTTCAATTTTATTCAAATTATATATTAAAAATAAAATATAGTAACTTTAAAAGTATAAATTAAAAAAAAAAGTTTGTTTCCTCTATATTTGTTATTTCAAGTTTAATTTGTTTACTTCTTCAAGACCATATTGATGAATATTGAATATTGAATTTCAAAGTAAGATTTTATTTAGTTGCATTTGTTTATTATAAAAATCATTAAAAAAAGATTAAAGTTCCATATGCCAATAAAAACTGTATATCGCCCAAGTGATTATTCTAAAAGTGTCTTTATATTTTGAAAATTAATATATATATATATATATATATATATATATATAATGCAAAACTTCTGAATATAATCAAATATCTACGTATATCATGCTTATTTTTGTACGTATTTTGTACGTTTTGTTCGTACGTATACTTTGTTTAACCAATTTTATTTGTATTTTTCGTATACGTATGTTCAAGTCATTTAAATGTTACAATTTTATATCAATAGTACTTTTCGCTTAAATTTTTATTTCAAATTACATAATTTCTAAAAAAGTATGTTTTTTCAGAAAATCCGAATTGTTAATTTTATAGTTACTCCATGTTTCAAGTTGTTCTGAATTTTTAACAACAAAATTAAGTCACTGAAGCCTTTCGTCAAAATTTGATAAGGATATTTATTGATTAATTTGCAAGACGATCAGTATTGCCGCTTTTTTAGATTTAGCAAAAAAGTGCGAAAATTTTGTTCATGTTTCCGCAAGTCGGAACCAATTTAGTAAATTTGAAAACCGCTCGAGAGATATCAGTTGGAAATAGTTCAAATCATTTTTTGCAAAAACTTGGGTTCTTCGTAATTATTATTTTTTTGATATTTTATTTAGTATAATGAAAACGTTATTGTTGTTAGCAAATAACCTGAAATAATATATAAATCTATACAAAATTTACTGAAGTTGGAGATAATGAACCAATTTTCTGAAGTGTTACATCACAATTTTACTGATCAAGTCGATCATTCAGTACTTATCTAAAAGTTTTGGCAACTTGACTTCAAAATAGCAGTTACACCTAGTTAAATTTTATATCATGAGCTAATTCATATTATTGCTGGAAGTTTTTGCAACTTGCCTTCAAAATAGCACTTAAACCTAGGAAAGTTTTATATCATGAGCTAATTCATAATATTGCATCAATCCCAGGAAACAAAATAATTTAAATTGCATAAAATATTATTATTACTGTGCATTACCCAATAGTATCATTTAATTACGTTAATTTTATACGCAGTATTCATTTAAGTGCATTTGATCAGTGCACTTTATAAACATAAATATTTACGGAACGAAATGTAGAGTAAAAAATTGTTCTGCATAATTGTACTAGCCACGCTATGATAAATGCCAATGTACGTACATTCGAATTCCGATGTTCAACTTAGGCCACAATAAATATAGTTTGCTGTATTGACATAATATGAAGAGAATTATGAAATATATACTCTAAACAAATTATATGCAAGAATTGGAAAATTTTAATCTTTATCCACACGCATGGGGATAAAATTATAAAGATGTATGAATGCTGGGAAACAGAAATTTTATTTTATATAGAAACGACTACAAGTACATATTTTTTAATTTTTATTAGATATTTTAGATTAGATGTATTTTTTAATATTTATTTCAATAAACAATTTAAATCATAACTGTTAACCTTTATTGTCATACCGGTAAGGTTCTTTGTAAATCAGCAAATAATTGTTTTGTTTTGATAAAACATTTTGTAATTACTAATCATTAGGTAACTTAGCTGCAAAACAAGTATTTGAGTTAAATTTCATATATAAATAAAATCGTAGAGGTCAAATTTTAAGTCTAATGGAAAACTTTCAGAATACGAGTATCTTTAATGCCCAAAAATTAAGATGATATCTCTATTTAATTGGACAAATGTGTTTTTTTTTTATTTTTGCTTAGTATTACCATGGTTTTTGTCTGAATATAAATTACATCAATAGAGTTTTATTATTTTTATAATAAACAGATGCAACTTTTAATGATAGATTTCACAAATCTTAATACAAAATAACTGGCTTATAATTTGATATTTAATAGATTGCTATTAGAAAACAACCAATTGGTTATTATTTCCTCTAGTCCCGAAATATATCTAATTAGTAATTTTGACCTAATTATGTTTTACAACATACCAGACAGAAAAACATATTTTGATATACATGTTCAAGCAAAAATGGATATGTAATGGATATAGTGTATCAGCTTGACTTCCAATAGAAACTTTCCAACTTAAACTATATGGATAAGAATTATAACATTGATCAAACTATCCCTGATTATTATACTAATTTACATTGAGATTTATCTAATCAATAATCAAACACAGGCATCAATACAATTTTTTCTATTAAATTTGGTCTATACACCTGCTGCCTAACAACCATAATATAAGGGCCACCAAAAGGGCGGCCTAATACCTTTTTTTGTTATATTTATCCAAACAATTATTAGATGTCACATTCACAATTACAATTCTGATTATTAAAATAAACTGAAAAAAAAATTATGCAAATAAAATTCCTGATATATACCTATCAGAGTAGATCCTTCTTTACCTCACCCTCAGGCGCATCAACCTGGTCCAACTATGTAATATAAATAATTTCAATAATTCACATAATTTTACTAAAACTTCTATTTTATTTCAATTGCTTAGTATTGTTTATTACCGATACATCACAACTACTCGACTTACGGATAAACATTTCAGTCGATTATTTATAAGAGAATGTGTAAACCAGAAATGTGTCCTTCCACCTGCGTTCCTACCATAGGTGTACTAGTTGGCTAGTCGCTATTATTTTTCAATCGACTCGATTTCTGATAAGGAATCTGCAGATCATATTTATCTTAGGATATTTGAATTCAAAATTAAGTTTTTGCTCAGTCAGACACGGCTAAATTGACCGAATCTTGTCTTGTTTTCGTTTGTGTTGATGCATTTTTATTTTGAGATGAATATGTATTATCTTATTTGGAATTGTATCACACTAATAATTTGGCAAATACCAAATATGATGCAAATTTTTCAACGTAAGTTGATTAATTTTAAAAATTAGTTTTCAAAACTATAAGAATTTTGCACTAAAATTATTGAAGTTTTTAGTAAATAGTCGGTAATAATAATACATTTTCGTTTCCATAGTCATTTCAAATATTTGCAAAACTTTAAATTTGCATTTTAATAATAATTTCTTAGCTTATTGCTCATAGTGTATTATATTAACCACAACAAATTGCCTATTAATTTTTTTATAAACATTAATCAGTTGTTTTA